GGGGGGATAGGTGGCAGCAAGCAGGCAAGAGTGGGGGAAGGCAGATCCTTCGCGCCACTCCGCTGATCGGTTTGAAACGTCTTTTGATGCACAGTCTATTTTGCGCATGTCAGATCCACCAATGAGAGCGCTTGCGGCCACCTATCTCCATTACACCTGAGGGGGGGGGGGGTGAAATATATGCGTTACGACTATAATTCACATAGAAGATGCCCAGGTGTTTTAAGGATCACGAATCACTAGAAGTCCCTTATTATACCGATTCATTCCGAAAGGAGTCCGAAGATCCGAAAGCCTGCCGTCGGACCAGTCCGAAACCATATTTAAGGCAGTACCGAAAATACATCCGAAAAGGAGTAAATCCAGAAGATTCCGGAACAGTCCGAAACGCGCATGAGGATGAATTTCGGACTAGTCCAAGCAACGGACTGTCCGGAATGAGTCCGAGTAGCAGGGTGAGCCCCCCCCCCCCAAGGGGTGGATAACTCCCCTGCCAAATGTATACCCCTAATTCTACCCAATTCAAACTGATTCATACGAATTCAATTTAATTCAAAACAATTCAAAAATAATTCAACTAATTCAGTCTAATTCAAGACAATTTACATTCAATTCAAGCCAATTCAAGCTCTTCAGTAAAATTCAGTAATTCAGTAAAATAAAATCGCAATAATTCAAACCAATTCAAAAACAATTTAACCAATTCAGTCCAATTCAAATTCAATTCAAGCCAATTCAAGCTAATTCAAATTCAATTCTTGAAATTTGTACACCCAATAGGGTATTTCACCCAGTTTGAACCAGATCCAAAGAAGAACAGTAATGCTTCCCGAACTGTTTCCTACCTGACGCTCATTGGCTGACGCGGATGACGTTCTCGGACCCGCCACTGGAGCAGTCGCAGACCTGGTGGCGGGTCTGCGAACTTCGTTCTTCTTTGGATCCGGTTTAAACTGGGTGAAATACCCTATTCAGGAGATACCCCCCCCCCCCCCTCTTCATCCTTTCCTTTTCTGGGTTCACTGTATCGGGGGAAATTGTTTCTTCTAAGGGACAGTGTTGTTTGGGGAGAGGATGTGTCTCTATGCAGGAATACCGGCGACCGATTTTTGTCTAAAGGGGTTGCCTACATTTCAGGGGAACAAGTGCGCAACTCCTCAGTTAAGCACTTCCTACTCAGTGAGCGTTTAATCTAAGGAAGTGTTCAACCGAGGAGTTGTATACACTTGCAAGTGCACACCTACCGAGTTAAACGCTTGCAAGTGTACGACTACGGAGTTGCACACTTGCAAGTGCACATCTACCGAGTTTTACACTTGCAAGTGTACGACTACGGAGTTGCACACTTGCAAGTATTCAACTAGCAGTTGCACACTTGTGTTGAGCAGTTAAACAATTAGTTTATCAGTGTGATGTTACGAATAGTTTGTTTTATACCGCTACGAACAGTTCGTAACCGAAATTGACGAATAATACTCGTCAATTTCGATTACGAACTATTCGTGACAGATTATTATCGTGAAATGACGAAATTCATTAATAGTGAACCTGGAATAGGTATGCCATCACTACATCACTACTTGGCTTGAGTACAAGCTGATGACTACATTTCATCTGCTAAATCCGGGTCTGAGAGGGTGCTTTATTGATACCGCTGCTACTGGCTGTTTTTTGGCCTCCGGCACAACAGAGAGAGGGGCTGGGGTCGGGGGACAGACAAGAAAAGGCGACACAATATGAAAATAACAACTACTGGAGTAAACAAGTTATGCGGGTTTTAGTGGCTGACCTAGGTGGCGCCGCTGCGCAGCCGCCGGTACGCACAATGTGCGTCGCACACATTTACATACGACTTTGTCAAGTTCATGGGGGTTCCACAACAACAAGGTTGTAATATCAGCTGATGCGGGGTAGTAAATGTCAAGCTAGGTTGAAAATAGCAAGCAAAGGTTTATTGCAATACCGGGCCTAGGTGATCCGGGAGCGAGCTAGAGATGGGCGAACTGGCCAGTTCGAATTTGAACGAACTCGAACAAATTTGGTCCAAAAATCTTCGAACGAACACGAACACGAACAAGCATTTTTTTCTTCGAACGAACCGAACCGAACAATGTAATGTTTAAATTCGATCCGAACACGAACAATTATTACCAATTTTTCTTGCTTACGCGTTATAAAAGCTATCCATTCTGGTTTCCAATAGTTTCATTGACGTGTGAACTTGTAGTTATTTATTAAACTGCCACTGCCCCCTCAATTGCACCCATTTTTGAGGTGAATTTCTGAAATATCTTTCAATTTTGTTCGCCTACGAACTTCTGTTCGAGTAGTGTCCGAACATTTCGAATCCGAACACCTCATGTTCGTGTTTGAGCGATCACGAACAGCTCGATGTTCGTTCGAGTTCGATCGAATGCGAACATGTTCGCCCATCTCTAGAGCGAGCGAACGTACCCTCCATCATCAACATACGTCAAGAAGAACCGCCTCCAGTGCATGGCACACGCCGCCCTCGGTTTGGCAGCCGGCCCCGCGGGGGGCCCCGCCCCGACCTGCTCGACCAGGGGGAGAAGGACGCCGCGGCCCTCGGCCCTCGGCATCGACAACTGGAGGGAGGCGGCCCAGGACCGGACGGCGTGGCGCGCCGCCACCAAGCGCATCCTGGACTTCCCCGACCCCCACGAGGAGCGCAACGACCACAAGAAAGCACTATCTATTTTATTTATAAGAGTTACGACATTCTGCTATGCTAAATTTTATTGATATCATTGATCGAAGGGTAGAAAACAAAAATCCAACTTGTAGCCATAGTTGGCTTTGAATCAGTTTTCAAATATCTTTCTAATGGTGTAGTCAGTTTTGACCTCACTGCAAAGATTCATACAGTGTTACGTATACCCCCTCTCAAATACGCAGTTTTTGCCTCAAAAGTTTAGGTATTTGTATTTCCTAGACCGTTTGAGCCAAAGAGGCCTGATTTGGAGTGGGATCATACTTCATGAATACCCTTTCATAATCTTATAATCTTTCTATAATCTTATAATCACGCTATAATACTTACAATCTACACTCAAAAGTACACGGCTGAGGCGAGTTGTAGACCCCTCGGTCTCTTCACTGATTCAGCTCCCTGCGGCGTGACAGCCAGGATCGCCAAGTGCAGCGGTCTCAGCGAGTGGGAGTGGGGGGAACGAGAGGGGGGGATATTTATTTACCGGTAGGAAAACTCTAGGAGCCTTCTTGAAAAGCACAATACCTAAGTAAGGACCCGCTCCGAATATCCAGTTTCAGCGTGCGCCTCAGTGCCGCTGCTCGCTGCCCCACGAGATGATCGGAGTCGTCCCGCTCTTGCTGCTGGCGGCCGCCGTGCTCGCGGTGGCCGCCCTCCTGGTCCGCTATTGGGGCGCCCTGTCCGAGTTCAGACGCGCCCGCCGCATGACGGCCAAGCTGCCCGGCCCGCCCCCGTACCCCGTGATCGGCAACGCGCTCGACCTGCCCTACAACATGGACGACCTCTACGACACTCTGAGTACATTCGCGTCCACGTATGGGCCTCTATATCGCGCTACGCTTGCGCACTACACCTTCGTCGTCGTCATGGACCCCGAGGACATGAGGGTCGTCATGACCAGCGACAAGACGGCGGAAAAGTCTTCGTTGTACGGCGTCGCGGAGTCGCTCATGGGCCGCGGGCTCGCAATCGTCAACGGGGACGAATGGCGTCGGCACCGCAAGGCCATCACGCCCAGCCTGCACCTCGACATCCTGCGCGACTTCGTGCAGATCTTCTCCAAGCAGGGCGCGGCCTTCGCCGACACGTTGGGCGAGCTCGCCGACAAAGGGGTGATGTTTGACGTGACGCCGCTCATCGGGTCCTGCGCCAACCAAGCCATCTGCGAGACCGTCATGTCCTCGGACGTCGACAAGGACGACCCACTGAAGCGCGACTTCCTCGACGCCGTGCCGAAGGCCTTCGACCACTTCATGTACCGCATTTTCAGGCCCTGGTTCCTCAGCGACTGGGTCTACTCGTTCCACCGCTGGCAGTTCCCCGACTACCTCCAGATGAAGAACACCTTCAATCTGTTCACCCAGAGGCTCATCGGTGATAAGAAGGAGGCACTGAAGAAGAATGAGCCGCTCCCCCAACGCAAGCGGCAGGCTTTTCTGGACCACGTGCTGTCCTCCGAAGAGGGCGCAGCGCTCAACGACGCGGAGCTCGCCGAGGAGGTCAAGACCTTCGTTATGTTAGCCTCAGCATCCTCGATGGACGCACTCAGCTTCTTCATCTACATGCTGGCCATCCACCAGGACGTTCAGGACAAAGTTAGACAGGTAAGGTAATCACCCAAAGCGTTTAGTGTCCAGAGCAAAGCTTTTCCGTTGCATGCTGGGAGCTAACCGCAGCACCCTAGCCCCAAAAATACACTGCACAGCACACAAACTCAATGGGGTATTCCGGACAAGCGAAGCGCCGGAAACGAGAGGCGAGGATAGCGCTGGTCGAATCTCCAGCCGCATGGCTTCTAGATCCGGTCGTCTGCTGTCAACTGCGCGGTGTCGTTAGGTTAGGCGTTGGTCTGGATTTCAATCTCGATTTTTAGAATGAGAACATTATTCGAAATACTTTTGCTGGCATAATAACACGTTATCACAATAATCTGAAGCAAGATGTGGTGGCTAACAAACGCGACAGAGCAATGGACGGCAGACCCACGGATACAGAAGCCATATGAGGCTGAGGCTGAGAGCGGACCAGCGCCACCTTCGCCTCACGTTTCCGGCGCCAATCTTACCCGGAATACCCTATAGAGAGGCAATATTTCATTTCTAACTTGGGACAAAGTCCATAACGACAAACGTTTCGTGACCGAAAGCATTTTTCTCAGTGCATTTCATGCATTTCAAGGCATGCTTTTCGTTTCCAGGAGCTGGACGATATCCTGGGCGAGGACCGCGGGCGCCTCGTAGAGCACTCGGACCTCGCCCACATGCAGTACACGGAGCGAGTGTTCAAGGAGACGCTGCGCATCTTCCCCATTTTGCCCTTGTTCGGGCGCATCGCCACCGACGACCTGCTCTTGCCGTCCGGCGTCACCATCCCGCGCGGCTGCCAGGTGGGCTTCTGGCTGCCCTACGTGCACCGGAACCCCCAGTGGTTCCCGGAGCCGGACAAGTTCGACCCGGACCGCTTCCTCCCGGAGAACTCGCGCGGCCGCCACCCCTTCGCCTACGTGCCGTTCAGCGCCGGGCCCAGGAACTGCATCGGCCAGCGGTACGCCATGATGTTCCTCAAGACGGTGGCGGCCGCCATCGTGCCGCGGCTGCGGTTCGAGGTCCCCGACGACGGCCCCAAGTGCCTCGAGGACGTCCAGCTCAAGATGAACCTCACCATGTCCGTGCGGGGAGGTGCAAACATTCGCGTGCACCGACTGTGACAACCACCCTGAAATCCAAAGTCCGAATTTGGTCGATCTCGTCGACGTCGATTGACGCGAAATCAATATCAATCAATTCAATGGAATTTTTGTTGTTAATTTTTATTTTTTTGTAATTTTATAGAAAATGTTATCCTAAGTTGAGCCAGGTTGTGCTGTAAATTGTTTTTACAGCGTAGTGGTACTAGCTATATGTACGCCAGACCACTTCTCGCGTAACAGGCTTCGCGATGTCTCACGAAACACTATTACGCTGCGACGCGCCTGGCGCAGATAAAACCTTCTTTTTACGATTTAATAGACCATTTGGTCATTTTCATCTTATTTTCGCCAACAAATGCCCCCCAGCACCTAAACGGTACAAGATAGAGCAAAACGGACGAAAGTTTACCCGAAGAGTTCTACTTTGACAAGTTCCCCCTTAGAAACCAATACAAAATTATTTGGAAAAAATACATTTTGCGTCCTGTGGTTTCTAATTTTTTTTAAAGTCAATTTTTGAGCTACAATGCTCATCTTCGAACTCAATCTGTCTTTTTATGATACAAAACGACCCTGAAATTCCCAGATCGCTATCTCAACCCTTCTCGAGTTATAGTGCGGACAAAAAAACAATGAAACTGTTTCGGCCAGTGGAGTAATGGGCTTCGCTAATTTCTCAGCCAAAAACTAGCTATATGTACGCCAGATGTCTCGCGTAACAGGCTTCAGGCTTCGCGATATCTCACGAAACACTGTTACGCTGCGACGCGCCTGGCGCACATATAGCTAGGCCTGCGGCGCTGACACCCGACACGAATGGGAGTGTATATAAATTTTTTCGATATAAAATCATTTTTTAACGATTTAATACACCATTTAGTCATTTTCATATTGTGTTTGTCAAGAAATGGCCCCTAGCACCCAAACGGTACAAGATAAAACTAAACGGACGAAATGTACGCCCAAAATGTACTTTGCCGAGATACCCCTAAGAAACCTATGAAAAACAAAGGGAAAAATTACATTTTGCGGCCTGTAGTTTTCGATTTTTGAAAAAGTCAATATTTGACCTACAATGCTCATCTTCGTACTCGATCTGTCTTTTGATGATAGAAAACGACCCTGAAATTCCCAGATCGCCATCTCAATTCCTTCTCGAGTTATCGTGCAGATAGACAAACAAAATGCAGCTTTTTCGGTCAGTGGAGTAATGGATTTCGCTATCGCTCAGCCAATAAATTTAAGACTGGACTTCACTTTGGGAACTATGCTGAATAACAGATCTAGGGATTTGTAATTGTGGCCATACCGACGAAGACGGGGACACACGCAGAAAACCGTTTCTTTGTGGGAAAGAAATTTTATTTCCAGTAACTAAAACCTTTCGTAGTTGAAATACACGAACGGTTATCGTTGGGACGACGAAAAATTTCGTTGTTTTCCATTTTCCATTCCTTCAAACTAGGGCTCTCATTTTTACCCGAGTACCCGGGTAACCCGGGTGGGTACCCGCCCGGGTAGGAACCGGGTCAACGGGTTTTCCCGGGTACCCGGGGTACCCGGGTAAACCCGGCGGACCCGCGCCTGCAAGTATAGGCAAATTGGCATACAGGCATGACAAGTTGCCTACTTACAGGCGCGGGTCCGCCGGGTTTACCCGAGTACCCCGGGTACCCGGGAAAACCCGTTGACCCGGTTCCTACCCGGGTTACCCGGGTACCCGCGGGTCGGGTTTATAAGAGCCCTACTTCAAACTAAAGAATTTTGTTGAGCTAACGAAAATTTTTATTTGTTACACCTTACATTTTGTTGATTTCAGCCACGAACAGATTTCGTTCGCACAAAGTAGTGGATTTTTGGGTGCATCTCAAAGTCAGACAGCTGAGGAAAAACCGGATTTGCGGAAAATAGGTTAACATTGCTACTGGCCACTAAAAGGTCCTGAACTGGTGAACTAAACCGTTGGGTCTGGAAGAGAAGGGTGATATGGGATTTTGGTGCGACCAAGGGTAAGATGACCAACTCCACACTGCGATAAAACAAAAATCCAGTACTGAAATATTGTCTGGTTCTGGTTTAATATTGCACTCGTTAAAGCAAACAGCAGCTCAATAAGGGTGGTTTTCAAAATAAACGACATATTTAGGTCCCTAAAACCAAAAAAGTAAAT